AGACTGAAATCTGACGACTCTTACTAACACGGCACACCACCAACAACAACAACAACAACATATAAAAAAAACAACTTAGCAGCTTGGCACTCGGATGGACTGAAGTTGTAAACCCCCCTACCTCCCATTTGATGAATTTCCTCCGTTTCTGCTATCCTGCTCGGCCTCGAAAACCAGCCGAGCGACGGTGCGGGGGGTGATGTTAAAATCCACTTTTTCACAGGAACACATCAACATTACTAGCAGTGCAAAAGAAGCATCTGCCGGCTTGCAGCTCACAGTTAGCTTTAGGCTAGCTAACCCCCGACCTGTGGAGGCCGACAGCCCACAACAAAACAAAACAAAAAAAAAAACGACTAGCAGCCTTTTATTTCCAGTACAGAAAGTCCTACGCCGACGTCTCCCATTTCCACTTTTAAATCACACCAGTATAAAACACAGAGTTGAAACTAATCGTACAGCTTATCATCAAAGTATATGAGCCTTAGTGGCGCACTAACTTGGCTTCAGAGTAACAGACAACACGGTTTATTGTCGAAAAGTGAAAAGAGTCGAAGTCAGACAGTCGGGCGCTTAACTTAACGTACGAGGGGGGTCACGAAAGGTCTTATCCAAAATAAATGCGTACCCTCGTGTGTAATTTGTCGTCGTAAAGCATACAGCTACGAACATTTTGTCAACACAATTCGCGTTACTTGATATAAAAAGTGCATCGTAGAATCAAATAAACACAGCAGATAGCAACATGAACGCGAACCCCCCTCCGACAAACTTTGTGGTACAGTCCAGGGATATAACTGTTCAGGGGGATGTGGCGATAGACGAAGACGAGTGTTTACATTGTTCGTCGTAAGCCCATTGAAAATCTGCGTTAACCTTCATCACGTAGCTTATTATCTTTCTATTAGTTATAAACAAATACAACAACAACAAAAAAGACGCTGCATGTGTTAACTGCGCCCACTTTTATCTAGGTTATTTCATTGCGTATAGAGACACAGAGCTCCATATCCTATTTCTATTTCTCTTATCCGCAGAGCCTTTTTTTTTTTTCTTCCTTTTTTTTTATTTTTTTTACCACAAACTAAAAGTCAACACAGATGTTTTTCTCTCTACATCACGAGCAACACGCACAGGTAAATGCACACTTTTTGTATAACTTCTGAGATAATTTGAAGGGAGACATTTGTCCAATATTGACGGACAGAATTATTGCGCCACCTTGTGTCAAGCAAGGTCCGGTGCAGGCTGTGATTGCAACATGACAACTTTTAACCTATCATGTAGGCTACGGCACTAAATTCTAACCATCTGAATGATAGTATTATTAAAATGCACACAAGTGCTACATACTGTACACATGTATATATATATTTTTTTAGAATTGCATAAATAGAGTAAATAATTTCTTTAGAGGCAACAAAAAAAAAAAAGTAAGTGTGTGGTGCATTCATCTCACCTCTTGTCTCTAGCAGCAGCATTGCCTTGGTCTCATGAACCAGTAGAGGTAGGATCCTGGACACACACTAGGGACAGGACAGAATGCATGAATGTATCAACGCGATACTTTCAGTCAGGCTGATACATATATGAAGATATTTTAAGCAATGTATGCACACTGATTTACATGTGCTGGAAATATAATATCAAGACACAGACAAGTAAACACTTTAAAATGATGTAACTAAATTATTATCATTATTAATAACTTTTAGATTATCTAATCGAATGTGAGGATGCCGCTGACTTTTTAGATTAATCGAGAATAAATCTGGATATCCTGTGGGAAAGTTTCCCAAATGACGTGTTCAAATTGGGCGTTTTGTCTGACCAACAATCAAAAATCCAAATATATAACGTTTGTTTTAGATCTGACAAAGAATTGCAACACATGTTCTCAAATGATCGGTAGGAATTGACAGATAATTGGCATTATGCTTAAAAATATGTATTGAATTATAAAGATAGTTGCTGCCTAGATTTTTGGTGAACTCGAAAAATAAATTCAGCTCTTCTGGATTGAAATGAACTCAACGGTTTTTGTGTGCCGCACAGGAGTTACTATCTCAGCTGTGTCACATTTGTAATGCCCACACCAGATCTGTATGTACACACTTTGCATGTTTCAGTCTTATTTCTATATTGTTGCCAGACTGTTTTTTAAAAATAAACACCATAGCAGCTATCCTCACACAACACTCTTCAAAAGTAGGATTTTACAGCACTGATAGTATGATAATGTCTTGCAGCATGCAGCCTGAAAATCTGCAGAAATGTATCTTTACCTGCCTGTGTGTTTTAATCTTCAGCCAGCAGTTGCTTCCTTTCAAATCGATGACAGAGCATCACAATGACTTGGCAATTTCAAATACTCCATAGGATAACCTCTCCTGTCTTCACACTCTCTGTGTCTCTGTTCTTCCAGTGATCAGCGCTCCTCCGGCTCCTCTACAGCACAGAGATGAGTCTGTGTTACATACGCAGCCCCGGCCACACAGCGCTCCAGGATACCGGGAGTTGTGTTGCAGAGCACCTCTGGCTGCTGAATCGCCGACTGGAAACTCGATCTGTGCTAAAAATAAAAAAAACATCACCAGCATAATGAGAAAGGAGGTGTGTCGCTCACTGTGTGTATGCTTGTGTAGGGTCACAGAGGGGCAGCCCACCCCCATATAAACAACACCCACACACACACACACACACACACACACAGGTTTATCATATGTCAACATTTCCTTGAAATTTCCCCCCTCGTGTGCGTGCTGGCCCCAAGGTTTTTCGCTTTCCCCCCTCTCTTGGTCACATGCGTGTCATTTCCAAGATTGCTCTGCAGATTTTTTTTATTGTCATTATCATTCACGGGCTCACACAAGGTTAAAAGAGGCAAGGACCCTTATCAAGAGCTCAGTGCTTCATTGTGTCATCTGGTTACATCACATGACAACATCCCTGACCTCCAACACAGCTAAACACACAAACAAGGCTGTCAGGCAGAAGCACAGCGTGTCCTACCCCTGAACACTTTTTGCATCGCAGAGAGCCATGCTTAGTTGACTCAACAAGTAACAAGGTGTTTCCCTTTAAAAAACAAACAAAAAAACAAAAAAAACAAACATTAATTTATCACGTCACCATGCAGGCTGTGGCAACCATGTGAATCTCTGTCATGGTGGTCAGCACGTAGGTCGAGGCCTTCAGTCAATGTCTGTTTTGTCAGCCTTGACTGCAGTGGCCTTGTTTTTCTGACAGGCGATCTGGCATTGACTGACTTTGATGGCAGATATAAAAAAAAAAAAATGATTAAAAGAAAAAGCAGTATATTACAACTGCTAAAGGGTTTAGGTACTTAAACACGATGGAAACTGTTCAAATGAACATGAAAGTGTTGCGGTTAAATTCCTGAATATCGGTCGCAGCAGCAGCAGCTGAGAGGTCCAAGCACGCCTTAATTTAAAGAGGCAAATCACCGGGTACTTGTGAATATCATGTGTAATTTGCCATGAAAGGAATTATAGAGCTGGAAATAAAAAGAAAGGAAATTGTCAGTTTAGCACGTCCAAATAGAGTATAGTGGAAAAGTAGGCTTTATGTGTAGTGGTTGAAAGAAGCCGTCAAAGACAAGCTGTTTAAGATTCTGTTTAAGATTTTCCTGATGTATCTCTACACATAGAAAAAGACTAAATGCTGTCCTCTCAGCCGCCAGCGGTATAAAAAAACAGAAACATATAAATCTATCTTAATAAAAAACATCCTCCCATAAAATAACATAATTCTAAATTCAGCTTTGAGGGCGAGATGTGACTTGTGATATTTTCTGGTCTTTGCATTAGCAGCTGTGAGGTTTGGTGTAGATTCATTGTCAGCCTTACAATTTACCAGGAAGTTCTCTCTTACTAATTGTCCCATGCGGGGGCGCTGGTGGCACAGTGGTTAGTGCGCACGGCCCATGTAATGATAATAATAATGATAACTTTATTTATATAGCACCTTTAAAAACAAATGTTTACAAAGTGCTGTGACAGACAAAGCAAATACAGCAACACAACAGCAGAACAGAGATCAACAGAGGGGCTAAACAGAGAGGGCAGAAATAATGTAAATGCAGATAACAGGAATAAGACAGATACAAAAGGCAGGTATGGAGAGGCAGTTCAATACAATGAAGGAAAATTAGTTTAAAATCAACCAGGAGAGAACAAAATTCTAATTGAGGGAGAGTGGGACGACATCACATCACAGGCTGTAAACACAGAATGAAGATATAAAGAAGGGATACACGGGAGATGGTTAAATGAATAAAGCAACAGAGAGCTGAAGAGTTAAAAGACAAAAGGAGTAGGAATCAAAAAAGAGCTAAATGTATGGAGGCTGTAGTCGTTAAAGCGGGACGCAAAGGTTCAAATTTGACCTGTGGCTCCTTTTCCTGCATGTCATTCCCCCTCTCCTCCCTGATTTTCTAATCTATCCACTGTCCTATCTGTTCAAAAAAGGCACAAAAAAAAAAGTCTTAAAAAATAAAGAAAAATGTCCCATGCTTTGTTGCCCCTGCCCCCCTTTGCTGTTTTGATTCATGGTAATGATTCAACTTGTGTGGGAAATAAGCTCCACTTGATTGGCACAAAAGTGTGCACTTTGTTTGCTGTAATGTGTCTAACTGAAGTTTTCATGACCCGGGCTGCAGCTGGCTTTGAGGGTTTAACGGGGGAGGTATTTGGACTGAAGACACATGAAGAAAGTAGCATGAGGAGTTTCAGAAAACCTATTTAAGTGAGCAGGGACATGTTGACTTTTCAGATGTGACATGACCACACTCTTCTACCATCCAAACATTCAAAAACACATTTGTACACTTCCTCTCAGCTTGACTGTCCTTGAGTCAGACACTAAACCCCTGCCAGCCCCAGGGAGGGGGGGGGGGGGTCCTGCCACAGACCATGACCTCTGACTTCTTAAAAACTGTTTCTTCACATATAAAAATAAAGCTTGTACATGTACTGCTATCCCTTTAAGCCCTGCATGTTTGTTAGCTCCACTCTAGCACGAGTTTATCCCAAAGGATTTGTTTATCAAAACGTGCTGGCAGTGGTTTTGCATCTCAAGCCTGCAGTTCTTATAAAGAAACAAACACAATTCACAACACTGACTAAACTGAAAACAATGATCCAAGTAAAAAACACTACAATGTATCCCTGACAAAGAAAAACTTTGAGATGTTTGAAACTTTACCTATGTAGAGAACTTTTCTAATAAAAAAAAACATGGCTGCAGTCTTACTTCAGGCGGTCCTGCTGTAGTTATGGATCAGGTCTCATCAGCTCAGGTTTCCTGCAAGGCTTTCGACACTCACAACGTCCAACTCTTCTGGATTCACACGCTCTAAATATAGCTGCCTTCAAGTCAGACAGACTGCAGGAGACACTGCTGTGAAACAACACGAGGACTTAAGGATTTTTTTTTCGTCCACAGTTTCTGTCTTTGTTGGCCTTCATGAACCCAAGATTATAGAACTGATGGACCGACAGCCCCGTCTGGATCAAAGGGTGGACTAGTTTGTTGTGAGGAATCCAGAGACTTTATGTCAGTAATGTAATCTTAATCCCCAGATATACTTCTCTGCAAATTCACATCAAGAAAAGTTCTTTTAATTTCCAGCAGCTGGAAGAAATGTTATGCCACTGTCTTCTTTTAGTCGGCCTCAGTCTTTTCGGTAAGTAGAAAACGATTCATTTCTTTTACATTTAAAAAAAAAAATGTATGATGTTTTTGGTTGGAGTTAAACTGTTATAAGTGACTTTTTATTGAATTTCTATCTTTAAGACACCTCAAAGCTTTCTAATAAACTTGTGAAGTGGAGATAAGTTGTTGTCAGAGAGGTAATTCATAGACTTAAGATCAAACGACAAGGTCTTTTTTTAATTAAAAAAACAAATATTTTAAGCTTGATAAATGTCATTACCATCAGTGTACTTGTTCTTCAATCAGTTGTAAAACTCTGTTCAAAAATTGAATTAAAATTTTATGAATCAACAGTTTAAGTCTTCATTTCCTTGGACTGTTTCTAAATAATCCTCTGAGACGGTTATGTCGGCTGCACATGCCTTTTAAAAAGCCCTCCAGAAGTCTCTTTTTTTTTTAGATTTATTTTTGGGCCTTTATTGAAGAGACAGGACAGTAGATAGAGTCGGATATTAGGGACAGAGAGAGAGAGTGGGAAATGATGGGTGGGAAAGGAGCCACAGGTGGAATTTGAACCCAGGCCCGCCCGCTTAGAGGACTGCAGCCTCTGTACATGGGGTGCGAGACCTAATCACTCAGTCACCAGAACCCCTAGAAGTCTCTAATTTTTTTTTTTTTTTACTTTGCCAGTTAATATTGTTGTGTTCTTAGGTATGAAACTGTGTCACACAATCGGCAGTCATCTTGGTATCAAAAATCTTCAGAGAAAGGAGAAGCTGTTGTTACTCAAATACATGAGAAATCCTTCTTCTGAAAGCTTAAATAAAACTAAAATATCTTCACTTGTGGGCTAATTTATCAGATGGACACTACTTATTATTTATAATTAGTTGAATATCATCATCAGCAGCACGAAGCTGTAATAAACTGTGGAGAATTTATACTCGCCACAAAGTCACAACTCTAGCTTTTAATTGGATTAAATACCCTCCATTCTGTTTGAGTGCTTTACAGGTTTCAAGCTTTGCTGTCCTGTTAATAAATGTATTTTCTATATTTGATTGAATGGCTGTTTCAAACACATACTTTTTTTTTTCCAAGACAGAAAACAAAACAAAAAAACACAAAAGAATTGTGCATGAGACGACAGGCAATTCTTATTTACATGTTTGAAAATGAGTGGGAAGAAATGTGAAAGATCTTGTCTTCTCTCCGTACAGAAAAACATCTTTTGGATCTATACTTTCCTAAAAAACAGAGGCAGAGAAGTGACATTACTTGGAAAAATAATGGCAGCTATGGGCACCTGATTATTGTTTCTAAGAATAAAGACTTGGTTAAAATGACTCCTAACTTATATCCTGATCAAGTTGGACGAGGTCTAAAAGTTGCTTCTTGTGTATTAAATAATTTCACCACTCTTCTCCTGTGTTGTCTTCTTCTTCTTCTTCTTCTTCTTCTTCTTCTTCTACTGCTCCTCCTGCAGTGTCTCGGTGTGATGGCGGCTGTTCGGAGGTGGACTCCATGACCGAAGCTGTGGCAGGAGAAGGATTCCTGTTGGGTTGCATCTCCTGTAAGAGACGAGAGGAGGTCCCTGCCAGAGCCACTGTAGACTGGCACTTCAGACCGCTGGGAGAGGAGGAGGAGGAGGAGGAGGAGGTGGAGGAGGAGAAGTTCAGGCATGTGAGTTGCTGGAAGTAAAAACTACTTTAAATGGCCTAAGGAGGTGTTAGACCTGGAAAAGTTTGAACATCCCTTGGCATTTATTATGCAAACCTCTGTGAAAGAGATTTAAATGCATTCTTCAAAATGATGATGATAGGGTACATATATCCCATAAGCTTCTGACTGTATTAAGACAAGGTGAGTGCAAAGGCTGTATGCTATAATTCAGATTGTCACCCTGAGGAGACAGCTCTCGTCTAGAGAGAAATGTCTAAACATAGTGGAGAGGTGATAAATTCCCTTCCATTGAGAGTTGTACTCTCGGGTAAGATGGCTCTGGTAACCCTTAGGTAATACACCAATACACCCTTAAATATAAGGCAATTCGTGGTCTGCTCCCACACTATCTATGTGTTTTTATCATGCAGAAAAGTACTAGACAGTATTATTTGCGTTCTCAGGAAAAGGGCTTTTGTGTGTTCTGCACCCTCAGCCTGGAATCTGTTGCAGAGTGACTTGAAACTCAAGGAGCTGGTGTCCTTAAAGGTGTTTAAATAAAAAATGAAAGACATGGAAGCAGATTCTATAGGATGACGATGCTTTTACATTCACTGCTTGAACTACTGACTCCTAGATTTGAGTCCCAGGTGGTTCCCTTTTGATTCTTTTAGTGTTTTGTGAATTGTACTTTGTCTCCCTTTGTGTCTCTGTCTGTAACTTTTTGCTGATTGTCTTGGCCAGGTCCTTGGAAAAGAGGTTCTTAATCTCAGTGGGAACAACCTGGTTAAAGAAAGGTTAAAACTTATTTTAAAAGCACGTTTCATACATGTGATAGTAGCAGCAACACAAAGTGCTTCAAACAAACTTCAAGAAAAACTTAACAGTATGTGGACAAGTGACGTCTTACAAAAACAAATTAAAACAGAATCTGCCATCATAAAATCATGAAACACCAGAGACAGATTGAGAAAGCCAATTTATAAACCCTCACACACCTAGAAGTAAAAATGGGCAAAGTTTGAACATTTATACACAGAAAAATATGTTAAACTCAACAAAAGCTCAAGAATGAAAGGAAAATAAAGACTAACTTTCCATTTATTTTCTACTTTCTCCTCCTCTCAGATTTTCCACTATGACCACCCCTCGGCCGACATCCTCCATAAAGATTTCAATGAGCGCCTGGAGTGGCACGGGACGAAAAACACGGATATTCAGATAGGAGCCATTTACATTACTAACGTCACCTTCAATGACACGGGGACATACCGCTGCACCATCCACCGCACGCTCTTCCTGCCCCAGTACAACCAGCATGTCACAGTGGAGAAGGAGGTGGAGCTCAGCGTGGTGCCTGTGGGTAAGGTGGTACCGGCAGAAAGACTCTCAGAAAGCAGTGTTGAGATAACTTAAGGAAAAGCACTAATACAGCAATGAAAAATAATGTTACAAGTAGAGGGAAAGCTCACATTACGCAAAATACACCTGACCACTAATATGTGTCCCTAGCCCCTCTTTACCGTCTATACCGTCTATACCATCTATACCCCCCAATGATGAGAAAAGTCCATCCCCTCCACCTTTTACCTGCTCCACTTTTCAGAAAATGTGTGCTCAAACAGGCCGATTGGAGGTTTTCCCTTTGTGACATCACAAAGGGAAGCAACCCCTCCCCCAAGTGGGTGACACTCCCAAAGCTGGGGAACCCCATTGTCCCTGGATGTGGTTAAAACATTTAATGTTGCGCATAGACGGGCACACTATGAGGCCTTTCCAAATAGCGGCATTAGAACAGCACAAAAGAAGACAACAGCCCAAACAGAAACACTTTTTTTTAAAGGTACAGACACAAGAAACAGCCTGTTCTGAGCAGGGCTGAAATAGAGGGGTTTATAGACATGATCAAATACAGGAGCAGACATGTTTTTGGGGACCTCTGAGACTTATTTAAACTGGTTGAAAAGGAGGACAATATGTGACCTTTTAAAGTAAAGTGCAGAAATATCAGCACAACATGCTTCAAGTGTCAGAACCAAGAAATAATTCAGCAGAATATTTCCCCATATAATGGATTGATCATTATAAACGATGCCTCAGTGGGAAGAAAGGAATCTGTGTTATATACAGCGAGGTCATTAAAAACATTTGATCTGGCCTTCTCCTGTGCACCCTCAAAGATGAAGTCAGTGCCAGGAAAGCATGGAGCGAGTAATTTCATCTTTCTCTGCCAGTATTAGTGGCTACCAATACGATACCAGGTCTATGTGTCCCTGAGGTAAAGCGATAGGATTTAGAGGTCAAATTTAAACACATGATAAACTCCTTATATTTTCCTGTCTGTATCACAGTGTTTCTGTGTGTTGGGGTTAAACAAATGAGACGGTTTCTGACTTTATATGATTTTTACCTCTGCATTTCTTTGTCAATCTTAACACTGGTGCACATGCCTCCTCTGTAATGCTCCATTGTTGGTTTCTGTTCTCCAGCCAATAGGGAGCTGACGTCGGTGATCTCAGAGATTATGATGTACGTGCTGATAGTGGTTCTGCAGCTGTGGCTCGTCGTTGTTCTTGTCTACTGTTACAAGAAGATTTCAGAGGAGCACGAGGCTCGGGAGGCCCGTAAAGCTCTCAAAGCTCAGGCGGAGTGAGTCATCGATCATTTTACGTTATGTATTACTGAGGTGATTCATTTCAGATTAACATTTCAGCGTTTGACCACCAAGGTCAGATAATGTCATTTTAATTAATATAGTATAATATATGTATGACTGAAATCTGATACCGATATATTAGCCGGTATCTTTCTTGGTTCTACCTTCAATCTGAAGAGATAGATAGATATTGGTAAACACGTTTATTGACTCGATCCCTCAAAAGCAGTTATCAAACACTTACACAGAAAAGATATATAATGAAGACAAGATGGTCACTCAACTGAAAAGTAACTGCACATGTACGTGCATCATCGCTCGACACTCTGGAGGGTGATGGTGCTAGTTGTAATCCAAATAGCGCCCTCTGCTGGGGACAGAGAACTGCTAGTGTAATACAATGAAACTGGTGAATAAATTGAGAAATATCGGCACATATCTGCGATAAAATGAACAGATACGAGAGTCAACTTGATATGCTAATACTGGCCAATATTATCGGCCTGGCTCTGATTGATTGAGCACAAAAAATCTTTTTCATTTAGAATTTAAATGCATTTTTCAGTATGGTATGTGTATTTTTGGGGACTGATTATGATTCTGCTGTTTCTCACATCCAAACTCTTCCCCGAAATGTTTTATTTCCAGACTCATAGAATCAAAAGACAACTGTGACGGGGTGCAGCTCGAGTAAAAGCCTGGTGAGTAACCAACTTGCACAACATCTGATTTAGAATAATGTGAAGAGTGTGACCTTTCTCTTTTTATTTATTCATTTACTTTACATGTTGTATCCATCAGGTAAACCACAAGTCATCTCTGCAAGACTCAAGCTTCACTGCTGCATCATGATTCAAAACTCCTGTAATGGAGGTTGATTTGGATTTTTTTTATTTGTGTGATGCTCATTTGTGTATGCAACGTTTACAGTTATGTGTGAATACAAGCTGAAGGTGCAGAAGACAGCAGGCAGATTTCCCCTTAGATTTACTAGACCTGTTGTCTCTTCGATGTCCCATGAGACAACAATGACTCGCATTACTTGTTTGTGGATTTGAATATAAAGCTTTCAATCCAATGAACTTTTCTTTTTTATTCCATCGTCATCTATGATATGTGATTTTCTTAGTACAGAAAAAATGACAAATTATTTAATCAGAAAAAAAGGAAATCAGATAATGTCTATAATTATAACTAACCCAATTATAAATACACTTTTTCACTTTTTGTAAATGTTTGACGGAGTATAAACACCTTCCAATAATAATAACGAGGCTGCAGAATCTTTGTAAGTGTTTGAAATAGTGCGGACATGAACAGATCATCAGTTTCCAAATGGCTGAAGAATCGATGAACCGTCTGTCGATGATCTGAGCAAATTATTCAGGAAAGACAACTGCATGAAAAAATATTTTAAAACATCCCATCAAACATTGAATTTATTGGTATGCCTCAGCTTCACAGACTGCTCTCCGGATCTCAGGAAATCTGTGTCTTTAAAGTGATGGATTTCAAACTACATAAATCGATAAGTCAGATGGTTTTAGGTAACATAGTCTGTGAGTGTGCTGGGTTATATGAAGACGGGTCCTTTGAGGATATTCATGTACTCGGTTTTTAATTCTCTTTGAAAAAGAAGAACATACAAATCAAATGTGTAACGATTGACCAATGTCATGTCTTAAAAACTGCCATATGAGATTTCTTCACTTTCACTTTAAGAGTCTCTTGGGATCTGAGCGCTCCTGAAACCTTGAGATTTTTAATGTGGGCTGTGACATCACATCCAAGCCAGCTTTAGTGAGCCTTAATCCTGAGCAGCATGTCTTAATTTAGCTGTGTGAAAATGTAAAAAAAAAAAAAAAAAAAAAAAAAAACACTGCTGTAGTCAATCCAATCTTTTCTGTTACTTCTCGTCTCTTCTTCTCTGTAAGTTTGTAAATGAACCTGATTAAAGAAAACGCATTGGTAAATGTTTTTCTCTCATGAATTCATTGCATTTGTTGTTATGACAAACACTTAAACAATAGATCATTCTCAATAACGCATAACTTTGAGAATCGTTCATTGCTGAAGAATAACATTTGATGTACGGACACTGATCTTTTGACCAAACATTGCCCTTTGCTGTAGCTGCATATATACACCTACAAACATTTCTATTTTAAATACCTCAGGGAATTTCTGGCACGCACACACAGACGAACACACACACACGTACACACACACACACACACACACACACACACACACACTATTTCAGTGAGTTTAAGGACATTTGGAGGTCATGGTGTTGTAACTCAATCCAGCCCGAGATGTGCTGCAGACTGTCTGAACTACCTGCAGGCTGAAAGCAGCTTTGTTCTCCTACAGCGAAATGTGAATACTACAGGTTTTATTAATACATGAGAAAACAGCACCAGCGACAAACTCTCTAAACAAACGGAGTTTTAACACCAAGCTTGGGCCACTAAACATGCGGGAAACCGTATCTTCAATTTGACATATATCCCCTGATTACTTTGCTTTGTTACTGTTCTGATATTATAAATATTCGTCATTCCTTTGGTTCATGCATACAAATTGTCTTGTTGTCATGAGCCAGCAGTTATAGAGACAAAAAAATAAAGAGAAATAGAAATGTGCAATATCTGTCTCTGGTGTATAAAGAGTTTTATATTTGCCTCAGTGAGTTTCATGATTTCATCACATTAACACATCAAACAGGTTTGATGGAAAAGACAATACACCAACCATGTTCACCGACAGTAAACTGTGTAGTATAGGACGGTGTGTTAAGTCATGCTGCAGCACCGACTCTCTATAATATGCTTTGACCTTGCCCTGTGACCTCCTCCTTTCATTAGACGTGTTGACAAGATGCCAGGTATCTCCTCTGCTTAAAACGCACGAGCACGAAGGAGAGCACATCAAGACGAAGAAAAGGAGGGGATTCACATTTCTGTTCGAGGAGAACTTTGAGACCAGCGGCTTTGTGACTTTTAATGATCAACGTCTGCTGATGTGAGGGACAGCAGAAACCGAGTCCAGGTTATTTGAAGGTAGGAAGGCTTTTCTTTTATTCTCACCTGCAGGATAATGATGTAGATCTAATTTGTAGAGATGAGTTTTGTTATCACTTCCCCGCTCTCTTTCATCATCTCAAAGTCAGACAAGGTAAGTCAAAATATGTGTCTCCTGCCTCAAAGCTCAAGTCTGTTCATTAACAGCCAAAAAATACACATCTTTATACTGTTTAATACACTTTAACTTCCTGTGAGTGTTATTTTCTCACACAAATCAGATATGCTGTTTCTCACATCGCTCTGACCTTCATGTTATTTTAAAATAAACTCAGAAACAGAACTCCGCTGTTTCCAGATTCAAACGTCTCTGTGAAGAAAGTTTAAGGCCTTCTTTTAAATTAGAAAAATGAAAACAAAGCTCATACAAACATGCAGTTTACCCCACACATAGATAATATTATACAGAGTACGGCCTAGACCTGCTCTTTTTTAGAGTGTCTTAAAGTTACTTTTGTTCGGATTTGGCGCTATACAAATAAAGACTGATTGATTGATTGATTGGTTGGTTGGTATTCTTACCCAGACATATGTTCATATGTGTGTATTGACAGTTGACTGTTTACAGTTTACAGAGTGATTTGTCTTATAAAGGTGAGGACACGTTGAAATCATCTGATTTATAATTTTACATCGACTGAAGTCCAAATCTTATCAAACACATCTCCTCTTCCATGTTCTTTATTGTCCAATTCTTTCCCACCATACTCTTTAGTTCTCAAAACTTACTTTTCCATTTTTTGAATATTGGAGGTCTCATTTTCTTCGAATCTTTTTGCATCAGTTTTGCATCTGGGGAATTCTGAATCATTCCTTTTTAAATTCCAGTTTGAACTAGTTAACCAAAAGAGCACATGTCACTCCGCTGTTCATCTCCCTACACTGGCTCCCAGTTACTGCTCGCATCAACTTTAAATCTCTGCTGCTCATGTTCAAAACAGTAACAGAAAATGCTCCTCCTTACTTAAACTCTTTAATACAGGTCTACGCTCTCTCCTGCCCTCTACGCTCTGTCAATGAAAGGCGTCTGATCCAAACTTCATAACAAGGCCATAAGTTTCTAAATAGACTCTTCTCCTCTGTCGCCCCCTGATGGTGGAACAAACTTCCTAACTCCATTTGATCTGCAGAGTCCCTTTGCACCTTTAAAGGTGCACTAAGTAGATTTGGTGGTGAAATTTAAAAGTTGGAGAAGTGAAACAATTCAATGCTATGTTTTGTGAACTAAATACACACACAAAGGAAAAAATGGGCCCCTGGATCACTGTTCGACGCTAAAAAGCTACCAGGAGAGTTACGGTTTCACTGCGCACCCCCAACACAACTTCTCATATAGCATTTTATCTTCAAACAGTGTTACAGGGGCCACATTTTCCTCTGAAGATTGTGTTTGTGTATAGAGTTATGAACATATATCACAGAATCTGTACATTTTTCCTACTTTCATATTTCTCTAACAAAACTCCATAGTGCACCTTTAAGAAAAAGCTGAAGACCCAGCTCTTTATGAACACCTACGCAATAAATGATCATGATGATGAGGATGGTTATGATATAATTGATGATGATGATGATGATGATGATGGTTTTGTTTGGTAATGACATTATTAAGGATGGTTTTGATGCTGATTAGAACTCTCAAGAACAGCTGTCGATGTGCACTTCCTGTCAGCACCTGTGTGTCCGATCAGACTTAAAGCTGTGTTGTTCTTACTCTCCGATGTAGGCCTATACATCGCTTTGGATAAAAACGTCTGCTAAATGAATTGTAGAATTGTAGTTGTTGGTTTCCCTGTATGATGTGGTCTGTATCTGAGAATTTGCTTTAAAAAGTTAAATTTCATGACTTTCACCACATTTTTTACAGCATTGAACGCTTAATCTTCTTTTGAAAAACTGAATATATTTAATATTATTATATTCTGTATATAAAATATAACTCAACTGTTTAACTCATTTTGTACTTGAGTTATGACCAATTTTACCAATATTATTTCATTGTAAAAAAGTGGTTTCACTCTTAAAAAACTAGTAAGTTGTCTGTAGCTGCTTTTCTTGTTTATCTGGGTTAGGATAAGTAATTTAGATATATGTTAGAGTTGATAATACAATAAATAAAGTATATTTCCTCCTGACCTATGTTATGATCCTCATTCTCCTCTATTCAGTTGCAGTTCCCGGATCGTCCAGCAGAGGTCAGACATGTCACACATTAACGCCACTGAGCTGCAGTCGCTCCTGCTCTCCTTCCTGCAGCATTGCCTCAACAGCTCAGGCGTGCTCTTTCCGCCGATACCTCAGAACTACACTACCCAGCAGGCTTTGCATCAGTCGACAGGAGCCAGGGCCCACTCTCAGTCTCAGGGCATGATGTACATCTTTCTGGTGGTCGGCATGTTCAGCTTCTTCACGTTCGGCATCATGCTAAGTTACATTCGCTCCAGGAAGGTGGAGAGCTCTCAGGATCCGTATCACCAGTACATCGCCCACGACTGGACCAAGGTGGTGACTCCGTCCAGGGCCGTCACCGAGGCTCTGCACAGGGAGGCAGCAAGCCCCAGAGCCAGCAGCAAGGAGCCCGTCATCATCTGTAACCCGGCAACCCTGGAGCAGCTGCCAGACTAGAATATAGCAAAATTCAAATATATAAAACTTTGTAACACAAGACTTATATCACCTTTACTTTAATGTCACATAGCAACCAGTAGTCACAGTGTAAGGTTGGAATTTTCACAAAAGTAATTTCACAGAAAAAACTTTAACCATAAAGTTAAATTTGCTTCACATGCATTTTCATTAATGACACTTTCCCGTCAAAAAGCACGATAACTCAGTGGCTTCTGTTCTCCCACTTACAAGTGATGGTGACAATAACAGTATTCACACAGAGTCCAATAATGTTCAGTGGTTCCACATGTGTCTGACTTTGATTTAGAAACTATTATGAAGTATGTTTGTGCTAACCGAAATAACACAAAAATGATTTAAGGGCAGAATTTTAATGTTGCAATTTTTAAATGGATTTCTTGCAAGTAGAATTCATCTGTAATAAATTTTCTAAATCCCAAATTTGTGTTCAAATTATTTTTTTGCTTTAGAATTTAAATGTATGATCTGCAGTCTAGCTGAGTCACTCGCCAAAGACCTGCCATTATAAATGTGTTTTACATTTTTGTGCTTGAGTCCCACCCAGCTCAAATGTAAGCTTCAGATTCAAACTCAGAGTTTACTGATTTGTAAACAAGTTTTTGGTTGGCACAAAGCCATTTTAGATCCCTTTCTGTCTTGCAGAAAAACAAACATTTTCGATGCATTGATTACAATTTTTCCTTTCAGCAATATTCTGTTTGATGGACCAATAAAGAAAAAAAAAAGGTGGGCAAGTCTTTCAGAGGACAATTATTGGTTTAAGAGAAAAGAAAAGAAAAACACTGTCCTCAGATACATTTTCTGTTCCCTTGAATTCAGACTTTAGTTTTCTAGTCGGAGCATATTCTTCATCCACGACATCAGGCCTTGTTTGGTGTTTTTCTGCCTTGTTATGGCGTTGGCTCTTTTTTTCTCCTCCTTCCTCCTCTCTCTCTCCTTCTCTCTCTCTCTCTGCTGCTCCAGTCTGTGTTGACGAGCTGCTTTTACCGCCCGCTCAATCTCTCGTGACAAACTGAAGTGAACCATCTGCATGTTGAGCATCGGTACGATGAGGTTGTAATTATCCACCACTTTGTTCAGTTTCACTAACTCCTCTTCTACAGATGCACACAGCTGCTCCCATTGGCTCTGATCTTTTGGGGTCATTGGGTCACCGAGCTTGGCCCTCCCCTCTAATAACCTTTTTCGGATGTGAGCAGTGTTTTCCCGGATGTCACGCTGTGTGACGACCCATGCAGGCTGATAACCATTGTCTATGAGGATGCGGTTGAGGTTGTGGGTCATTGGATCAGCGTATGGATTGTGCTCAAACTTGTTTAGGGGCTTTCCGGCGCCACTCAGGTTCCTGAAATCTCCTCGGGCCATGGACTCCTGGATCAGGTCCTCCACCAGTCGCTCCACAGCCTGGGTGATTTTGATCTTTCGACTACGCTGACGGATGTCCCGCTCCACCAGTGCCCCCTCTGCAGCAGCAGCCCTCTCGTGCTCCCTCTGTCGGTAGTCCAAAACCTGCTCGGACGCCCGGTCCACACGAATCTGCCGGTACTGACGCTCACGCTGGCTGGGTGTTCCTGAACCCACACCCTCGTAGCTGAGGTAGTGTCTGTGTGGAAAGGCTGTACCTCTGGACTTATCCTCATCTTCCACTTCCTTTCCTCCATCAGGCTTCTTGGTCTTGCTCTGATGAGCCAGCACAGCTCGGTAGGCCTCCTCCACCCGAGCAAACAGCCCTGGATCAGCAGTCGGAGCTCCAGAGTCCGGGTGGTAGAGCTTGGCAAGGCGAAGGTAGGCCTCTTTCACCTGCACGGGACTGCTGTGTCCCTCGTCTGGGAGTTGCAGAAGCCTGTAGCTTTCTTTCAAGCTGCGACTGATCTGAGGGCCGGAGCTGAGCGCTCTGAGCGACGGAGACTGTCGAGACAAGATGAGCAGTAAACAGCCAGAGTAGAAGTTGCTGCGGGCACAAAAGAGGTGGGAAGTGTAACCCATGGCTGGCCGAGTCCTGTGGATTAGAAAAGCAAAATGTTTTTAATCAATTCTATCAGGTCAGGCTCAATTGTTCAGAGTTACTGCCAAATTGTACACTCTTGGCAGTACTGGAGAGCCAAACTGGAGATTTTTACGCTTTTGGATCTTTAAGAATTTAGGTTACTTGGTGCTTGTGAATAAGAAACATATCTTTCTATCTATGCTTTGCTGTTGAGATCATTTTGTTATTCGGCTCAATAAAGAATTGGGAAAAATGGAGGCACAAGACGATACCTCCTGTTTTTACTTCTTAAACTGAAGCTCTTCATTTCTAGCATATTGATGGCCCTGATCGTACAATATAGCAGATATATATACACTTAAATTCATACTTAACCCTTGATTGTATTTCTTTGACTTTATTTCGTAAGTGTTTATGGACAGATCTCTCTGTTGTAGCTGCAAAATAAATTCCAAAATATGTATCTCCTTTTCTCCTCATTCAACAAATTAGTATGAAAATGTTTAATATGTACTCTACCCCATGCCAAACCTGGATGTGTACGTCTATTTTAAAGTTGACTATACTCATACACTGACATGACATGAAATAAGGACAATAATCATTCAATAGAGAACATTTTTATACACAATGTGTTGCAGAAGAAATATTAATGTAATTCTTCAAAATTGAGCAAACTTGTTCCACCTACACAATACAGAACAAAGGCAATGAATTGTGGTCAATTATATTTTAGAGCTGAGGGACCTGAGACCCCAAACTGAGATGAAGAACACATCAGGAATGAGAGTGTAGTGTTGGGCTGCTGTAGAGAGCAGTAAAGGTATCCAACAGGCCTGCACAATTATGAGAAAAATACGCGATGTGTTATATGATTGTGCAATATTGCGATGAGTGCATATTAGCTTTAACTCCCTGTTTATGTCTGTCTACTCTCCATGTTTACAGAAAACGTAACATTGTGTCAGGCAGTGGCTCATGTGGAGTTCAGATCAGCTGTGTAGCAGAGTAATGACAGGTCCATAACAAAGATAAAAACAAAGCTAACTCAGCAACGAGTAACTTTCACATATTCGGCGCTGCTTCTGCTTTAATATGCATTTTTCTAACAGACAGGGTGAGTGCAATTTGGTCATCAGGAGCCATAAATTAAAAAATAAACATATGTTCAGTTTGAAGGCTGTTTCACTGCTACCAGCTTAGTGACGCTGCCACGTTTACTTAAACTTTATAATTATAAAAAACAATAATGTAACGGTATCAAACAACATGAGCTGAATGAAAGTGAGAGCACATGTATGATTTTAAGACATTAAATAATACTGCTTAACGTTCAATGACCTACATGTGAATAGGAGCTGCCCCTTCTTCTTCTTCTTCTTCTCGTCTTCTTCCACTTTTGGGTTTAATGGCGGTAGGAAACCAGCTTAAAGGCGCATTACCGCCACCTATTGGACCGGAGTATAAAACAAGCAAGACAGGGAAAGCAAAAACTGGATAAGTACCTAAATTCTTTATATTTTCTCTTTATTTCTGTTTCTTTAAAATTTGTCATTAATTAATTCATTGTATATTTTAAAAGATCCAGTTAAGATTTGTTTCTTTTAGCAGTGCTGCTCTCCGTCAGCCATGCAGCAACTATGACTGATCAACACCTGGGGGTCTGGGAGGAGATCCCCCAGGACACCATCCGACGACTCATCAGGAGGATGTCCAGACATTGTCAGGAGTGCATACAGTTTATACAGACTGAGTCAAATTAAGAGATGTTGTGATGAAAGTTGGATAAGGCTGGGATTTCAGTAGTTTTTACTTTCGCTGTGATTTGGAATCCAGCCCTCAATGGGTTGAAGATTTTGGTTTCAATTGACCCTCGTTAGCTACGTCAATTTGTTCCTAACAAATCATACAACGTATAGGCTATGTCACTGAAGATGTTCCACTTAAACAATTCGTTCACCAACATCTGATTTGTGATTTAAGTGTTCCCTTGGTTTTTGTGAGCAGTTTATTTTCAAATGTCTTGTGATCAATTTAATACTTAATGGGTAAAATAAAAGTAATAAAACAAAATAAAATACAAATTGTGCACACACACGTTTGAGAAGAGCTTATTTTGCATAATATCCTCTTCTCGTAAAAATGAAACAAATAAATGAGCAGCACACATTACAATCAGATTACCATCAATTGAAAAGTAAGTAGCCTATATGATGTAGGGCAACAGTTCAGATTAGACTATATTAGGTGCCCCAAGGTTATTTTTTTTTGATAAATGCCCAGGGAGTCAAACTATTCAATCAATATGTCACATATCTTTGTGTATGAAAATAATTGTTTGTACAGGTTGACTGGACGTTCGGTCCTACAATAGGTATCACAGAAACATTTTTCTACAGCATTTTGCAGAAGAGTACCATCTTCTCCTCTACAGATTCTATCTTTCATGTTGGCACACGAGAAATGCAAGAAAATAGAATTCATTAAAAAAATTATTATTTGTTCCAAAAATTTTAAAAACAAGGTTCTATATGCAGAATCGTGGAAGGTTAAAATGTGGATATACATATGAACAGTGTTGTATTACTTGAACGGTAGAGGTCTTGATCTTGTGTAGGAATCGCAAGCATTTTGGCTCGGTCTTGTCTCGGTATCAGACAAGGCGGACTCCAGACCTTCCCAGTGTAACGGTCTAAATTAGTGGCATGTCCCCCTGCACACAAGATAATGATTTTTCTTTGATATTTATGGTCGAGTTCTTGTCTCGGTCTCGACCTGCCTTGGCCTTGGTTATGGACTCAGTCTCGATCCTTAAATGTCTTGTTCTTCTCGGAGTATTCTCGTCTCGGGTATGTCTTGGTCTCGGTTAGAGCGGTCATGACTACAACACTACATTTGAATATACTTTTTTTTTAGTATGAAGGAGTCTTGCTGTGTTTGCGGAGAGACAGCTGATTATAGCTTCAGTTTTCTGAAAGATAACTCAGCCATCTTTCATTGTATGTCCTTAATTAAATCTGAAGCCTTGTATTGAAATGTGATATGCAGTCTTTTGGTCACTGGCAAAAAACACTTTTCTTTTCCCGAATGTGGTTCATTGGTAGAGACGGTCTTCTCTCAACCGGTTCGATCCGCAGCTCCTGAGCAACATGTCCGATGAGTACTTGGGCAAGACACTTAATTCCAGATTGCTCCCGCTCCAGACTCCTTCCTCTTGAGATCATCCACAAGATATGACTCCTCCTTCTCAAGGATTTGGTAGAAGACGTCTTTTGCTTTTTGTCCTCCAGATTTTAGGGGACCATGAAAGAGCTTCCTCATCTTCTCCTGAGTGGTTGGGGTATCTCTTATTTTATCATAAACTTCTTGACGGATTACACCTTTTTCCAGTAGCTTATCCAATATTGGTCCAATATTGTTCACCCTTGCTTTCAGGTCACACTGGTGTTTATCCACAAAGTGCACCTCTGAAGGGGAGACAAAAATGAAATGATTTACTTTCATATCTGGCGATGTCAGATTCTTTTAGAATCACAAAATGAAAGTGTGAATTGCAAAGTGATAAAAATATGATCATCAAAAATTAACATTCAAAATGTCATTGCGTTTCTGTGGATTTATTCTACAATTCATTTAGCACACTTTTATCCAAAGCGACAAACATCAGAGAATAAGTACAACACAAGCAAGGATCTAGAAAAGGAGGAAAAAACGTAAGTAAAAGCGAACAAACAGCTTAAAGTCTGATCAGACACACAGGTGCCGACAGCTCTTCGTGAGAGTGCTAATCAGCATCAAACCAGCCTAAATAATGTAATTACCAAACAAAACCATTGTCATTGTCATTATCATCATTATCGACATCAATAATATCATTAAGGTCGTAGGTGTTCATAAAGAGCTGGGTCTTAAGCTTTTTCTTAAAGGTGCAAAGGGACTCTGCAAATAAAATTCCACCACCGGGGGGCGACAGAGGAGAAGAGTCTAGTTAGCGTCTTACAACCCTCGGGCGAATCGACATGTCCGGGCAATCGAGGCCACTTGAACCTTAAATGTTAGCTGGTCATCAATCACGACACCCAGCTTCCGGGCAGACTTTGCGGGAATGAGTTTGGTTGTACCAAGTTGGATATTGATCTGTGGTTGCATAGAGGGACTGGCTGGGATGACAAGGAGCTCAGACTTTGAAAGGTTGAGTTAAAGGTGCCGTTCATTCATCCATGTAGAGATATCAGCAAGGCATGACAGGAAGAGAGCTGGGTATTGTCAGCATAGCAGTGGTATGAGAAGCCATGAGAGCGGATTATTGAACCAAGTGAGCTTGTGTATATGGAGAAGAGAAGGGGAACCAGCACTGACCCTTGGGGCACCCCTGTTGATAAATTGTGTGCTTCTGACACTTCTCCCTTTCAAGACACTCTAAAAGATCTCCTTGAGAGGTAGGACACGAACCAGCAGAGAGCAGATGCTGAGATGCCAAGTTCAGAGAGCGTGGATAGGAGGATTTGATGGTTAGCTGTGTCAAAGGCAGCAGACAGGTCTAGCAGTAGAACAGAGGACCATCCCGCAGCTATAGCCGCTCGTAGCGATTCTGTTACGGGCAGTAATGCAGTCTCAGTAGAGTGGCCCCGTTTAAAACCTGACTGATTTGGGTCAAATAGATCATTTGTGGATAGAAACTCAGAGACCTGATTAAAGACTGTGCGCTAGATTACATTTGACAGATAGGGCAGAAGTGAAACCGGTCTGTAGTTTTCAAACTGGGCTGAGTGTGGGTTTATTTATGTTAACTGTATAGTTTTGGCATTCATTCTCTATCGGCAAATTATAAAGTGAAACTCTTTTGCGAAATAAGCTACATAAATGTTTCTGGTAAAAATATGAATATAAAAAAGAACTTCGATCATGAAGTAAACTCTTGTGCCAGGTTGCTCTAACAGAACAGCACACAAAAGGGCAACACGAAGAGCATCAAATAAAACGTTTTTTTTTTAAATTGCAAAAAAGTATTACAAAGTAATTAGGGGTAAAGGTTTCATTCAAAGAAAATCGGTGTAAAAAAAGGATAACAGAGTAAGATAAGAACAAATAATAATCATTAACAGTTCAGACACAGTGCTAGGCTCTATTTATGCAGACTCCAGGTAGTGACCACGCCGATAATACTACATGATAATAAAGAAATATAATTTGCTCTGGAGGATTTGTCTTATCTAGTTGTGACATGGCACATTTCAATTTCATGGCATATTTCTGTGATAAAAGTAAAACCCTGTTAAAGGCTGCATGCACCTCACAATCTGAACTGTTTGTGTTTCAGTCAAATCAAACTTTACTGAATTTAAACATGTATAAACGACTGAACAATTACAGACATTTTTAACAATGCAACTTGTTCAAAATAAATTGTCAATATCAAAAATATCTATACTTAGCTGCCATGACATGATATATCAGCACGCAAAATATGGTGATACTATAATGTATCGATTTTTTTCCCCACCTCTACAATTTATCAACACTATTTTCAAATTCCCTTTTAAGTGTGAATTAAAAAAAAAAAAACACACAAATGGCCCACCTTAGAGCAAGAGTTTGGATTGTCCACTGCAGACTTAACTAGTGTTGATTTTGATTTTCTATGGCCAATATCACTCGACAGTACATCACAAATAAATATGGTGGTCATTTCTTTTCTTAATAGCCATTATAGTGTAACACAGTGCGAAGGCTGTTAAGATCTAAATGTTGGACTGTTGAAAAAGACTCAGGGCCATAGGAGAGGACTGTCTTACCACAATGCAGAGCAGTGAAAATACCGGATATAATGTATTCCCCAAATCTAATATTGATCATTTCCCTTTTTTTCAGCATCTCGTCTCGAACAGTGATGCTGACAGTAAGAAAGATAGAGTTGTTCTTCCAAACACATAAAGAATGATTACTTAAAATGTCTTACCTGGTGCATGGGAAGTGCCTTGGTAATCATCTGAAAAGTAAAATGCTTAGATCAATAATTTATTTTTGACTTTCTGCTTTGTTTAAAAGGACACACCTACTCTGTTTTCACTAATAATTCTAGAGAGTTAAACACCCGTTTTAGTGTATTCAAACCTTTTCGAATTGTGCGGGTCCAAACTGGTGCACTACGGAATAGGGACCAAGACTAAGAAAGGTTCAACAAAAACCCATATGAAGCGGCAGAAAAGGGAGCCAGCCAACTTTCTGGGGGCGGCTATGGCTCAGTTGGTAGAGTCGTCGTCTCCCAATCGGAAGGTTGAGGGTTTGATCCCTGCAGCAACTTGTCCGATGTGTCCTTGGGCAAGACAATTAATCCCAAATTGCTCCCGCTGTTTGTCGGCAGTGTGTGAATGGGATTACTTACTTCTGATGGTCTCACTACATAGCGACCACTACCATCAGTGTGTGAATGGGTAGGTGTGACATGCGGTGTAAAAGTGCTTTCAGTAGTCAGAAACTAGAAAAACGCTTTCCAAGATCAAGTCCATTCACCATCGCCTGGAAGAGCTAATCCGAGGCACCACCCTTATGTAAATTTCCCCACTGTGGGATAAATAAAGGATTATCTTATTTTATCTTACCTGGTGCATGGGAATTGCTTTGGTAATCATCTGAAAAGTGAAAAGTAAAATACTTACATCAATAATTTATTTTTGATCTGCTGCTTTGTTTAAAAGCAGACACCTACTCTGCATCAGTAATAATTCTAAGTAAAAAAACAGTTTTAATGTATTCAAACCTTTGTCAATTGTGCGGGTCCACACTGGTGTACTCTCTTTTTTTTTTGTAAGCTTGAGGATGAAGTCTGTGTCTGGATTTCTTATACATACTTGAAAGTACTGTGGATCGGTGAATTCATATTTGAGCTTGACTTCCTGTGGGGGAAAAATATGTTAAAGACATTGAAGTAATGTAGCACCAGATTTTTTTTTAATTGCTATAATTTATGCATTTTTCAAAAAGGTGATATGTTCTTTTGAATCAAAAAGACATAAAAAGATAAATCTGCTGTATCTTGCTAAATATTGTTTAAATGCTAGGTATAAAACACACTCGTACTTTGTTGATCTTTTAATTATGTTTGACACAAGGTGCCTATTACTTAAATTTGTCAACTGTGCGGAATGTGTGAATTAGCCATTCAAAAGTGAAGTGCTATTGTTATCATCTATCTCTGTGGCATCAAGAATAAAGAAGACACTGCGGTGGGATTACTATGGTACACTGAAAGCGTCATAAAGCACACAATATAGATGATTAAAACAAATTAATGCATTCAATTTGGACCTTAATCACATTGTGATTAACGCGTTATTATTGACAACCCTACTTTTAAATTATTGTTCAATTTGACTTATCCAACAGTATCCAACTATTCAGAACCACAGTTCATAGATTTAAATGCAGCTCAAAACATACTTTGGGACAAATTACTGCACCATCCATATCGGTTGATAGGATAAAATGATCCTTCATTCTCAAGTGCTTATATTCAGGTGGTTTTCGAATTTCTTTGTTTCCGTTGGTTGATTCAATCTTGAGAATTTCCTGTAGAAAAAAAACACAATAGAAAGTTGCAACAAAAGCTGATTTGTGATAATTTTTGGTACAATCATGATTTGAATCACTTATATTTATGAAATCAGGATAAGTAATAACCTGTCGAAGACCAGGATCACACGGGATCAGATAAACATTGAGCTTGAGGAATGCTTTGTTGTTCTTAAATATCAACACGCTGCAGCGTGTTTTCACACGCGCACCAACTCTGATCAGAACCCCCTTTGGCGAGAAAACTGGTTCAGCTAACTTGACATGGCAAGGCGTGACCTCGGAAACTTGTTCCACAACATCACCACAGTCATCGATGTGGAGGACGGCAAACTCTCCTAATATGTCAGTGTTGCCGTCTGCACAAAATACAAATGCACACATAAGTGAAAAGAAATAATTGCATCAGTTTTTCTTTTAAATGATGTTAGTTGCTCAATTGTAAAGGTCACATATTATGCAAAATACACTTCACCATGTTTTCAGAACACTAATATGTGTCCATAGTCTGTCCAAAAACCCAATTATGAGAAAAGCCTGCTTCCCTTTTTTTAGAATATGTGTGCTCAAACAAGTCGTTTAGAGATTTCCCCTTGTTGACATCACAAAGGGCAGTAACCCCTTCCCCAGGTGGGTGACACCCGGTGTTTGTTCTGCCCGCTGAGTCTGCCCTAAACAATAGTCGTGGATTTTTTTGCAAGAAACTTCACAGGCATGTTTTGGGGACCTCTGAGACTTACCATATTTAAACTGGGTTAAAAGGAGGATAATATGTGACCTTTAAGTTATTTTCTATATTTCCACTCACCTATGCAGATCCAGTGTGGCAGGTACACTTCATCAAACTTTCCAGCAATGACTTTGATGTTCATTAGAGGACCTGCAGGCAAGTATTTCAAGCTTTCCATCCTCTCAATGTGTTCCTCCCAAGAGCAAAACTTGTACTGAAAGCTGACCTTATCCTTACAGATCCAGCGAATGCCGGAGACATTGCATTCAAAACCGTTTCCTACTTCACTCTGTAGGCTAAGTGACACAGAAAGACATCAATGAGTTTGTATATAACTGTACTGTAGTGTTTTAGGCACAAAAGGAGTAACAAAGAAAAGTATTGTTTTTCTCATTTGCTGTTGGTCAGTATTAAGGAAGATATTTGTACCTGTATGTAGGAGACTCATCTCCATCAGTACTGTTCACTTCAGGATCAAGTTTGGTCCAGTGACCAGAGTCCGGCTGAGAGAGACAATCATTTTATATTGGCAACAATGAATGAATAAATAAAATAAATCCTGAATTAAAAAGAAACGGAACAAATGAATGATGGATGGGATTACCATTTCTTGTCCACAGTCGTCAGGCTCCACACAACCAAAAGGCCCTTGGAAAGACACAAAGGTTTCTTTAAAGTATGTTACTCAGACATATATTATCGAATAGTAACCTTACATCTCTTATATGTATCTCTTATTTTCTGCCGTCGGGTCGGGGTTATAGAACACTGACCTGGAAAAGGTGTTTTTTTTTTTTTTTTATCTGTGTTTGTCTGCAGAACATGTGAATGTCATTAAACCCTTCTCCTAACAGCTGGAGAAAAAAAAACATGAAGAAAAAGGGTAGTGTGTTCAAAACTTTGGACCTACATTTTGAGAATTTGTACACATGATGTTCTATCAGACTTTTTTTTTAAAAACCATCCCAACATAATCCCCTTTATCCATTGCTGTGATTTTACTATCATGAGAATGGGACTGATGTGAGGTGAGTGACCTTAACCTTTGATTGACCACACTATTGCTTTATCCTAGTGGTTGTTTGTGCAAAGTTTAAAGATATTTACTCCAGACACTCTAGCTAAAAACATGGGACATTCAACAAACAAATGGACAGAAAAGCCTAAACACATGTTGCCTCTGTCCCCTGCTGATCAGCGTCACAGA